TCTTTAGATGGCACAGTATTTAAAATTGGACTAACCATAAACCACAAGAATAAATTCGATAGTTTAGACTAAAATTACATACAAATGGCAGGATGACTTATATACTGATCTAACATTCGGGCAATCTGTGTGGGAAAAGAGCAATAACAGCAGGAAAATGGACATGGATCTCCACCGAGTTTTTGAATTGTGTTAGAGTTGATGAAAAGAGGAGTGCGTTGGTAAGGACTTTAAAGGGTAAAATACTGCCTAAACTGATATAAAAATGGGAGAGAGATAAAGATGCTACAGAGAATTGGATGGAGAACTTATAAGGTGACTATGCTTGAGATAGATGGGAGCCCTCTTTTTCATTAGTTCATTAGATACTGCTGATTAGAGCTTCGCCAAGACGACGGGAGATAAATGAACGAAAAAGAGTTTCCATTTACATAGTGGGGAACTAGGTTGGGTCTTGCATTTTCTTTATTGCTATATTACATAATCACCCTGTAGAAACAGCACAGGTGTGAAATATGCTTCTATTGCAGACTGTGGGAAGATGGCCTATTATGAAGCCAACTATAGCGATACAATTTGTTAAAACATGCTTGACACCTTCTATATATCTTTAATGTAAGATAGAAGGGTTCTGGAAAGGTCCTTTCATGTAGTTTATTATATAACTATTTGTAACTAATCCAAATACAAGCCTCTATTCTTTTTCTTTCCAGATTTAACATTTTCATGTACAACCCTAACTTGTTCTAGGTAAAAGTACTTAAACAAAAAGCTTCATCATTTGGTATAGTTCAACTAGTCAGGATAGCGATCACCTTGTTTTCTTGAACTATCTAGTTTTTTGGATCATTTGAATTAGACATATAGGCTTGTTGTATGTTTCGTAAAGGGTGTGCTTTCCAGAAAATGTTATGTTTTGTAGTCATATTTGTGGTCTAAAAAACATTTGCTAGTTTACTGTAGTTTGGTTCATCTGTTTGGAGAGTTGATTTTTTTCGAGCAATATCTACTCATGCATTTTGTTTTGGGTTAGAATTGTTTAATTTGCCTATATTTGGTGTGAGTTAGATTGTGTATTGAACTTTTCTTTCCGATTTTGTCCTTGGCCAATGGATAAGTTGAAACCACATACGAAAACTGCCATTCTTGTTTGGTGCAGGTAGCTTTTGTTGGACTTGGCCTTTTTTTAATTTCTACCATATTAAAAATATAAAAATTAAGTAAGTCCATAAAAAATTAACATAAAAAGGGTAAAGAGAGAAATTCATTCGCCACAGGTCTTAGAGCATGAATTTTAATCTTTCATTGGTAAAATATCCTCATTTTAATCTTCTTTAATGAGAATCTGGAATTGGCTATATTTGCTACGAATACTGTTAGTGTTAGAAGCACAATTAAATTTATTTTCTTCATTTTTTAATTTTTATATTATATTTTTTTGAAAATTGAGATACTGAAATTTTTTGGCATGCTTACATATGTAGTTCATGTAAATATTATATTTTACAGTGAAATTGTTATTGAGATTTTAAGAAAGAAATATATTCATGATTCATAATCGATGATTTGGTTTGGAAGAAAGGGGGAAATGTTGTATGAAGATCTCAGGCATACCAGGTCTAAGTCTATTTCACAGGATTATGAGTGGTGGATGCTTTGGTGGTATGTCAAATTTTGAACGAAACAGAACTTGAAATTAGTTATAGAAATTAATCATAAAGACAACAGACTTTTTCTTGTTTGACCTAGGTATTCTGACAACTAAAATTACAAACTATTTTAAAGATTATTTAATGCCGGTGAACATGATTCAGATGTAACAGTGACTTAACAACCATTGAGCATTTAGTAGTAACCAAGGTGTTCTGTTACCATTTTAACATGTAATTTTCAATCTCATTTAGGATTATCTTCTTCTTGTATGTTTGTTGCAAATATCTGTGAACATCTGTCTGTCAAACTTTGCTTCCTACCTTCTATTAAATGCCTAGACACTAGGCTAATTGGACATATGCCGGACATATGTTAGTTCAGGCTGGTTGCTTTTGTTGCAACATGTGTTGCAAATAAAACACAGGTACAATGGTACTTAGAGTAATGTAACCCAGAGGTCTGCCTGTATATAATGTCTTGGAATAGTAGTTTGGTGTTTTTTCTAGTGACTAGTTGTCCATTCTGTCCTTTCATGGCATTGCATCACTCAACAAGTGCAACTTTTTGTCTCATGATGGACGCTAAGTGGAAATTGCCTCTCGATGTCATACTGCTATTCTTTTAGTTTGAAAGGTAATTGACTTATGACACATTAAAATGAAATTTTTGTTATGAAGTTGGGATCGACTTGCTCTCGTGCTATTGTTTGTGAACTCATTAGAAAGGATTGATTCTAGTGGCAGTCTTCCGATGAAAAGACATGTTAATTGTTATGAATTATAACAAAGTACGTCTTTCATTCATTTGTGATTAAACCTATAAAGTATCACATTGAGTACCCTTGAATGTAAATTGACTTCTGTTTTACATTTTTATGTTGATTATTATGATTAATAATTATAAGGGCTGTAATATGAATTCAACATAGGTTTTTCATATATTATTTTAGAAATCGATCATTGCATGAATGTGTAGTATATCATGTTTCTTGGATGCAGACTTTATCTGCCTGGAAAGAAAGGCTACATGGATGGGGCTATAAGCCACTATTCTGCAGTGTTGATCAGAAATCTGGATTAGCTGCTCTTGAAGACAGACTGAAAAGGCAAACGACTGTAGTTGTTGGTCCAAGTGGTGTTGGGAAGTCCAGCCTTATCAATTCGTTGAGGCTCACCCTGAACATTTCTGATGAAGAGAAAATAAATAAGTTTCTTGAGCATGTACGTATATTTAAAAGACTACTTTTAAATATTTTTTATGCATTACATATTTGTTGTTGATCCAACTTTCTGTTTGTATTAAATGGGGATTCTTGTCTGTTACACATACCTTGTAAATTTCATGAGGTGTAGGAATGAATTTTGATTAGCTGATTTTAAGCATGTATAACATACATGATAGTGATTAGGCTTCTCATTTGACTGTTTTATCTAGAACTTTACTTTTCAATCTATCCATGTATATGATTAATTAATTTATAGTGTTATCATTAGAGGATAGCCCTTCATTTATATTACAGTTTACATAATCATTATATTGAAAACTTTTTTTTTTTGCAAAAATTGGTCAGTATGAAAGAAGTAAGTGGCTAGGAGAACAGCGTGTTGGCAATGTGTCTAAAAGCGGCAGAGGAAAGCAGACGACACGACATGTTTCTTTACTTCCACAATCTGGTGGAGGCTACCTTGCTGATACTCCTGGCTTTAACCAGCCGAGTTTGTTGAAAGTTACAAAGAAATCTCTTGCAGAAACATTTCCAGAGGTTTTGTCTAATTTGCATACTGTCATTCTCTCAATTGTTTCTTCGTAATCATAATGCTCGATGCGCTATCATTTTTTTGATGTCTTCAGATCAGACAGGTGCTTAGTGCTAGTGAACCCCTGAAATGTGCATTTAATGACTGCTTACACCTTGGCGAACCTGGATGCATTGTCAAGGCAGACTGGGAAAGATATCCATACTATGTGCAGTTGCTTGACGAGATCAGAATCAGAGAGGAATTCCAGTTACGGACAATAGGGACAAAGAGAGAAAGTGATGTGAGGTAAGATTAAGATAAAAGAGGTCAATTTGTTTATGAATGTATACAAGTCTAACATTCATTCGTTATAAGTTGCACGTTCGTCTCAGTGATCTAGACAGAGTCTCAATTGATTTATATTGGTTGATTGATAGGAAATTACTGTGACTAACACTTAGAACTATGACCACTCATTTGATGTGTCAAATAGGATTGTTCGTATAATGGTATTGAAATCTGCACCACCACATTTAGTGAGAGAATATATGATTCATTATTCACGAGTGATTGGGTGGATATATTGAAGGTCAATGTCAATGTACATATTGTGATATTAATACTTGCGAAACAAGATGAAGTAAGCTGAACTTTTGCAGGTACAAGGTGCGTGAGATGGGTGTCAAACAAGCAGAACCACGACTTGAGCTTAAAAGGCACAGGAGGATATCGAGGAAGCGTCTCAACCAGTCTATACTAGATGATCTCAGTGATCTTGATGAACTCGAGGACTACTAGTCCAGACGCTGAGGGAAGTGCTAGATGAGGCTGGATTCAGATAGATCTAACTGAAAGTCCAGGAAGGCCATTGCCACAAGTCCATTTTGTGTAAATACTAAATAGTGGGACTAGGACAATGCCTTTTGTATATCTTCTGTTGTAGCCTTGTGGCGATTAGCAACTCCGACTGTAGGACACCTATTCTGCTTACAAAATAATATTGCACATGAAAAAAATTTTCCCGCAACTCACGGTATATCTTAAACTTAAACAAAGCGGCACAGGTTAGAGAAACAATGATTTCATTTCTAGTTTGTTTTTTGCAGTTTATCAGAGTTTATGCTCCAGTTATGCTGCAGGTGGTATATGAAGAAATTCATGTACATCGCTGTGCTTATCTGATGTGAAGTTCTGATACTTGGGGTTCAACCTTTGGCAGATGTTTCCCCTTTTTTATGACTTTGTAGCACTGGATTATGAATGTCCTTGTTACACTCCTGCATTCTGAGACCACACTTTGTTTGTCTTCTGAAACTTTGATACAGTGTGTATGATTGTTCTCTTGTTCATTAACTATGGGGTTAATTAACTATGTTTTGTGTGCTTATGTTTTAGGTGCACCCATGTCTGGTTTGATGTGTTTGCTGAGCTGCTCACAGACACATCCAAAAAAGAAAACAGAAATAGAGACTGAAATATTTAACACAATTAGGAAGAAAGAAGCAACATAAGATGTTTTTTTATATAGTTCATTGCCAATGGATATTCACATAAAAAAAGACATGAGAAATGGTTATTGAGCAAACAAAAGTCTTATTAAGTGAACATCCAAAGCCCTCTTCTTTATTCTCTCCTCTGATCAACCAACTGCATGTTATTGAGCAAAGATGGAAAGCCAGCCCTCAGCCTTCTTTCAATTCAAAGCCCTGCAACCTCTGCAAACCCAATGGAATACATACAGTCAACAACTAGTCATAGGCAAGAGTAAAAAATAATAGTAAGTAGGATGGGTGGATGTACAGAAGAAAAGATGTGTTCTTACTTCCACATTTTCCCTTGGGGACAGGTTTGCCACAGCGTTCGGCAACATAGACAGCCTTCTTCAAGCTAATCTTCTTTTCGATCCCTGGGGGGATGTTTTTGCAGAGACATGGCACATCCACCTTTTTGATCTCAGCGCAACAAGTCTTGGAGGGCTTGATTTGTGGCCCTTTGATCCGCACATACTTACTACACTCCTTCACTAGCTTCGAAAGGTTTGCTCCGCAGATCTGTGCTTGTGCAGGAGAAATCAGGAGGAATGCTGCAACCATGGCCAAGACCAACAGGGACAAGGGAAGCCTGCGTGCTGCCATCTTTGCGGACTCTCTCGAACACCAACCTCGAATCACGTCTTGTGGATAGCTGAGTCGAACCGAGTTGGGGAGACTTTATAGCATTCCGGGGGTGTAGTAGGGGGAGATTTTGCTGGCTACGAGTATCCAAACCTGCCAAAGAACAAAGAACACACATTGATTGCATGATATATTTTTAAGGGACGCAAATAATGATTCATGAGATTTTTCAGTGATTAAGTGATTACCATAGTGAAAACTTCCTTTTCTGAATTTTCCTACACTTGGGAGGCATTTTTGGCGGTGCCAATAAGCATTTAAGAGTTGATTTGTTTCCGTATGTGTAGATATTTCTACGAGAATAAAGAGTTTATTTTAATGATATGATCGAGAAATGAGAAGCAAACATTATCTACTGGGCATCATCTCTATCTCTAGAAAGAAATTAAATAAGCCAAGAATGAATATTACACTTTTCATTTGTTTTGGTGTGCACACACCAAATCTCTTAGGAAAAATGGAACATTAGTGATCATATTGAACATTTGTGTTGAGCGAATCCCCCAACCTGAGAGTGGATATGTTATATTCATCCATCTCTCTCTCTCTCTCTCTCTCTCTCTCATGATATGATATATTCATGCATCTCTCTCTCTTGAGATGCATTCAAGTGCGTTCACTAATGTAAACGACAATAACTTTGTATTCTTCGTCATCATTTTTCAGGGCCACGGAGAAGGAAGGATATACTAGAAGTAAAAAGGATGATGAGGTGGATATTTTTCTTTTGAGAAACAAAGTTGGCAAAGCATGGGATGAAAAGAAAAAGAGAAAAAAAAAAAGGATGATATGAAAAAAAAAAAAAGTATATTTATTAAATTTATAATTAATTGATTTAATGATCCATTAATTCGAGTCTTCGATTCGATCAAGATGATACATACTTATATCGTATGTATCACGGAGAACAAATTTAGTAATTTTTCTCTAATTTAAATCAATATTTATAAATTATAAAAATATATTCAATATTCTAATTTTTTTAATTATATTTAAAAATATCATTAAAATATTTATAGTTTTATCTGAGATGAGTTAATTGATATATTATCGTCTCATTTCTCATGTATATCAATCTTTACTAAAGGTGTTCTTGGTATCTTAATATAAAATTATTATTATTCTTAGCTAATTAGAATTATCTTCTAGTTAGTTCTTTTTAGTATTTTAGTCTTTATACTTTAAAAAGTTATATTGACGTCTCTATAGTTACAAAAATAAAAAATCTAGATTTATTTATCATGACGTTGTCAGTTTTATCAATGAAAACAAGAAAACAAAATATAAATGAGTAATTTTAACATTTCAATTAGTGGTGAAAAGCGACTATGTCCTTGGAGGCCATGAGTGATTATTGTAAATAAAAAGAGCGACGACGAGAAGTGAGGGCTACTTTATACCTACGTTAACACCGACGTAATTATCAAATGACGAAAGGGCCACCAATGCAGATGTCGATCGACGCTGCTCGGTAACTGTATTGACATCAATGCAGATATAAAACAACGTCATTCAACATCTACATATGTGGTCCTTTCATTGCTCGACAACTATGTTAACGCTGAAGCAGGATACAGAGCGATGCTGCTTGGTAACTGTATTGACATCAACGCAGATGCAAAACAACAATGTTCAACATCAACATATGTGGTCCTTTCATCGCTCGACAATTACGTTAACGCTGAAGTAGATACAAAGTAGTGTTGCTCGCAATTGTGTCGATATCGATGCAGATGTGGAGTGACCAATTAAGTGACGTCGCTCTGCATTTACATCGGCATCAACGTAATTATTGAGCGATGAAAGGGTCATTGAGGTAGATGTTGAGCGATGTCGCTCTACATTTACATCGGCATCGATGAAGTTACCGAGTGGCGTTGCTCGGTATCTATATTGGCGACCCTTTGTTGCTTGGTAACTATGTTGGCATCGACGCAGATGTAAAGCGACCCTCACTTCTTATGTCGTTTTCCTCATCCATAATAACCACCTGTGACCTTCAACGGTGTCACTGTCCACCATCACAAATTGAAATATTAAAATTATTTTTTTATTTTCATATTTTTGGTAGGGATCGAGATACTAAACGTAGCTAATTACAGGAGTAATATTATGTAATTAGTCTAAGAAGTTTTATTATTAAGTTAATATTCAAATGTTTGATGGTTAGTATCCGTGCTTTACCTTCGAGTCGATATGAATATCTAAAAATATTCACATGTGAATAAATATATATATATATATATATATATATATATATATATATATATTTTAAAATATCATCTTATGACGCTATTCATTAGCTCTAAGTAGATGTATTTGAGCTCAAACTAGTCTTTATCTCACTTGTAGCCTCTCATTCTAAAGAACTCAAGCAATTCAAGACTTTAACAAGTATTTTGGGCTATGGGAACACTTTTTTCCATGTTCTTTATATTCACAAGATTGCAAAGATTATGCAAACAAAGAAACACAACAATGGAAACCTCAATTCCAGTGTAGATTAAGTAAAACATGTTGAATCATAACAATCAATTCCAATGATATTTAATAGGGGATACAAAACCACAACATTTTTCTAGCACTTTTCTTCTAACAATCAATTAGTCATATCTTTATGTAGTCACAACTTACCCTAACTCATCAGTAACAATTGTAAATGGAAGGTGACCTCCATGTCCATATTTAAAATAGATATTATTTTTTCTTAAAATTAAAAGAAATTTTCATTGCATCAGATTACATTCGTATATGATACTCACATGTTAATTCAAGATTCGGATATATCACTTTGTATAATAATAATAATGCATTAACCAATCCGGATAACATAACAAAAACTAAAACAAACATTATTACACATTATGGGATTGTATACAAATTATTAGACAAATAAAAAATTCTTTAACTTTTTTAGACACATTATGGGATTGTATACCAAAACAAACATTGTACATTTTATTAAACAAATCAAAAGATAAAAAAATTCTTTAACTTTTTTATTCTCTCGAGACTTTGGTCTCATGTCAAGTTGATGATGGGATTGTATACTCTACAAAACCAATAAAACTAGTAAATAATTAACCATATAAAAGAATTTAAAAAATAATAATAATTGGATGGATCTTAAAATATACATCAGATTGTATATATGACATGGACTCGATGCTCTGATTTATTACTTGTAGGAAGGATAATGTACTAATCAATCTGACTAACATTATTAGACACACATCTACATCCTATTAAGCGAATCAAAAGATCAAAAATCCTTCAACTTTATTATTCTCTCCTTTTGTCTCATGTCAAGCCGAGGAGATGATGGGATACCATATATACTCTGCTTGGATGGATATCCATTAGACATATTCTTACTTGCACATTTGCTTTTTGTATCTCTTTAAATGTTCCGTGTAATCTTAATTTACTTACAGAAAGCAATTTAAGGATGAGCAAGTAAAGATAAAGAGGCAAATCAATTTATAATGGTTTTGTCTTACTGATCAATATCTACTCCCTATTCCTCTTCTCCTAAGGGTATTGATTTTCATTATCAATCTTACTTTTAATTCTCCTAAGGGTATTGATTTTCATTATCAATCTTACTTTTAATAGATGAATATGAGAGATCCACTACAAACTTTAAGAAAAATTAAAATTTAATGAAGAAAAAAATATAAGTACTGAAAGCTAATTTAACCAAGAATGTAAAGATAGAGAGGCAAATCAATTTATAATGGTTTAGTCTTCCTGTCCAACGTTTACTCCTTATTTCTCTTCTCTTCATGTTATCAGCTTTCTCTATCAATCTTACTTCCAATCGATGAAGATAAGAGATCCTTTATGGTCCTCTATTTTTCAAAGCTTAGGAGAGAACTTTTATACTTAATCACTCTAAAAAATCTCACATATTCTAAACTTAATAACTCAACTAAAAACTTAAGAAGATGGAAGGAACTCTACTTACTAGGAGTTCAAGGTGTGTTTTAACTTGACAGGCAGGGCTATCTATGGCCTCGAGATTCTAAAGAGCTCATGCAAACAAGAAACATAACATTTCGGAAACCTCGGTTCCACTTTAGATTAATCTCTAACACGTTATCAATCATAACAATCAAAACCAATAAGATTTAACAGAATACAAAACTGCGTAAGGAGTTTACGTCGGATTGCGCTACCTTAAACCATGTCAAAACCAAGTACTCTTCTTCAGTACTTTTCTGCTAGTCTAGCAGTGACTGCTCTAAGTTTGGAGTAGACCTTGCCGGCTGGTGACCCCAGTATAAGGCTACATAGAGAATCTCTAGCGACCTTTATGTTCAAGAAAGACCCCAGGATGTGGATCTTGGTATCTGCAATCACGATACGGGTCCTCGTAGAATTTTCAATAGCAAACTTGGTCTTGCCTCCCTTCCCGGACAGCCTACCAATAGCACGAGAAAGGTGTTCTCCCCGTAGCGTCTTCACATCCTTGATCTCGAAAGAGTCCACGTAAAGATCGTCCAGGCGGAGCAGAGCAAGAGCATCGGCAACATCAAATCCAAGCATGAAAGCATGAACAAAGTCGGCACATTTTTGCAGGTTACTGACATCTGGAGTATCTGCTCTTGTTTTAAGTTCCACCTTCCTTGCCTATAGGATATAAAGGGATTCACATGAAGAAAGAAAAACTAACGTGAACAATAATTTCAACGTAGAAACTCGTATATGCATGGTCCAAGAAAGATTAATTGACGGGAACAAAGTTAATCAACAAAGGAAACAAATATTTCAGCCTCCGCAAAACACCAAGCACTATCAAGGAAGAGTGTCTTTTGTCATCAAACAAGATTACATGGAACAAAATAAACAAATTTACTTACTTTAATGCAACCAATTCAACAAAAACCGCATATGGATGTTTTATTTGTAGTTAACAATAACATATTTCAAATCCAATATCTCAACCAAATTACTTCACAGATAATTTTTTCTCAAAAGAAAAAACAAAGCATTGATCAGCACAAACATGCATATGAAGTTCATAGAGGGTTTCACTAAACCAAGTTCTGTAATCCAGATCATTAAAAAGGAAATTACACAATTTATTTTGAAATCCAATATCTCAACCAATTTTTTTCTAGAAGCATTCTTTCTCAAAAAGAAAAAAAAAAGTGTTGACCAGCACAAACATGCATATGAAGTTCAAAGAGGTTTTTATAAAACCAAATTCTGTAATCCAGATCTTTCAAAGGAAACTATGCCCCTAAGATATTTAGATATTCATCAAACTGTAGCTCAAGAAATCCTCCTAGGGACTTTTTTCAGTACAAAATAGTAAATACTGAGTCATCATTTGGCTACAGCAGAGCAGATTTATGGGACACAATTGATATTAAGAAAGTCACATACTAAATAAATATTACGTTTGCTTACACTATTTTAAGCAAGATCTATCACATTTATGAATACAAGACCCACGCCCTTGAAAAACTAAAGGTTAAAACATATGATACTCTGAACATACGAATATCGATGCAGTAGATCGTAAAGAATGCCACTTAGATTTCATAAAAATAACATATATAGATATTTGCACACAAAGAATATGAAAGTGCATCTATTTTCACTGAAATTTGCATCACAAAACTTCACATTACAGTAACCAGTTCAACATAACAAACATCTAGATGGAGACCAACAAATTTTGATAGCTTAGTTGATGCTGTTCATAACGGTTTCTTTTAATATAAATTTGAGAAATAAATTATAGGAAATTTTCAATATAGTGAAAGTAACAGAAAAAAATGTCAAATGAGAATTAGACACTTCCAAAGCCTGTTTGGCAGACAAAAAAAAGAGATTATATCAATTTTCAGTCGGATTAGCTTCTTCTCAAGAATTTACAGCAACAATTATCAATTTACAAGAAGATACAAGTTGTTTAACATAAGACACCTCCAAAATAGAGATTGGTGAATTTGGTTGCTTAGTTGATGCTGTATGTGACTGTTCTTTGTATATAAATTTGAGATGGATCCAAGACGAAAATGTCTAAACAGCACGAGTAACATAGGAAGATCAAATTCTCTTATAATAATATGAATTGAACATACCTAAGTGAAATAAGCTTGACTAACTAATGAATAGCTGGAGATCAAATCAACCAACCAAGATTGGCAAAGTTGGCCAAAATAAACCTCAAAGTAAAGAAAAGGTTTCAGGGTCTTCTAAATAAACTCAGCTGATCTCACCCAAACCTGAAAGCAGGAATCCCATAAAAGCCAAATAATCATATCTTGTAAGATGCAATCAAATTCTGATGCAGCCAAATGGTAAGCTGAAGGACTGCATTAACTCTTGTTTGTTTAAATTGTCTGGGTTGTTTAAATTGTTTGTTTATGTATTGTAGCACAAAAGCTAGTCAGATGTTGAACCTGAAACATCATAATGAACCTATACATAATTACATAGAAATTGACAAAGGCACAAACTTGAAGCTCCAAGTCTGTTTCTTCCTGCTATCACTTAATTACAAATTCATTTAATTAGATTTATATGCCTCGATATGAATACTGTGCTACTATTCAACTAATGCAAGGAGAAGAACAACATAAAAATCTTAACCGCAAGAAGTAAAATATACCGAAATGGGATCACAACATCGTTCTCAGAAATTTTACTTGGCCGCTAATGAAAACAAAGAAGACTCGATGATCATTAAGTTCACTTGTAACATAACACAAGATAAAGATAATCATTCATATTCGTATCCAACACGTTCTTCAGATTGCAGAGAAGCAATAATTTTCAGGCTAATCGTTTCCGCAACAAAGCCAGCATACCAATTAATGCCTAAAACTAGAAGGGATCCACTTTTCTGACAACTGCAGAACCTCAAATTAGATATCCGATTCGATTAATAGACGACTAATCTACTGGCGGAGGGGAGAAGACGGTGATCAAACCTTAAGGTTCATCCTGATGTCGATCTTCATCTGCTCATAGATAGGGGTGTAGATCTCCATCCAGCAGCGCTTGAGCGGCGCGTAGCGGTGGGTCGGGACCCCCACCTTCCGGAACTGGACCTTCCCGTCGGACATGTCGTGCGGCTTCAGAGCCTCGAACTGGGGCCGGAGCACGGCCGCGGGAGCCGAAGCGGCAGCCTTCTCGATCTCCATGGCCGAAGCGGCCGCTTCGCTCGACGCCATGAACGAGAAACCTCCTCTGAGCGTTTGCTACGATGTCGGCGAGAGAGAGCGAAAGAGAGACTAGGGTTTCAAGAATGCTGCTGTTATAGGAATTGGCACGCGCGTGTGATGACGGAGTTCGCATGACACCGTCCCAAACGTGACACTTCGGACGGTGGATCGCTGAACTGTTCTCAAATCCAACGGCCTTAATCAAAGAGAGTCGGATTCTTATTGAGCCAATGAGCGGACAATTGTAATTCTCCATCGGACCGTTCACTTTGCTCGATCTCACGTCTCGACCGTCCATTCTGCCGCGGTTGAGAGTCGTGTTCGTCCGATCATAATATCAGTCCATTTATTTATAATTGATATGTTTTTATTCGTTTATATATATATATAATTATAAATATGTCAGAAGTGGCGAAGAGGATAATAAAATAAAAGAATTAATATTTAGATAACAGCATCTACATAAGTTTGCCTTTTAATATACATGAATACCATCATTGGAATTGCTCCAAAAATCTGCAGTGGTCTAAATTGGACGCAACGTTGGGTACATACGTGGAATAATACGTACGGTCAGGCAATTACGTAGCATTCTCATCGGTGAAGGATAATGGTCGATACTAAGTGGCCACTGAAGGAATACAGTCCGTGTACGTGTTCTCTCCCTCCTCCGCCGTTTTCTGTTTGACGTTACGTTACGGTTTCTTTCAGCTACATAAAATTGAACCCTCCTTTAATTTAGCTTCGTCTGCTATTATGTGCGGTCAACGAGAAGGAAACGGTGGCAAATCTTCGCCATTAACTCCGTTTGTGGACCTCACGATGCTTCACAGTTGATGCGCCAATACCCGCCGTTGGATCTACAACGAACATTTTTCATATACATCACTCAAAGTTCTATAAATTGTGACTGATGATAGCATAGGGTGTACTGTAGGGGTGTATTTGCGAAAATAATTTAGACGATGGTGTATCTGACAAAGTACAACACGTCTATTTTTGTGAAACGAAGCATTTGGGTGTGCGGGGGATTACCGAATGGCTGCTCTCTTCTCCCTGACCTGCGTCGTCTCCCCCAAACCCTCGCTTCCGGTCCCCGTTCGGAGCTCGAACGCCCGATGGCGGTGGGAGTCGGTTGCTTCGAGAGTTGTGTTGCAGCCTGAGACGCGGAGATCGAGAGTTGTCGCTCTGGTTTCCCAGGCTTCCCGGGTCGTCTTCCGTGACCTCGACGCCGATGATTTCAGGCACCCCCTCGATAAGCAGGTTTGACCTTTGATCGTACCATAGGATAAAGGCTATCGATCTTCTATCCGTGTAATCGGGATTTTATGCTGATTCCCTTCGGTTGCGTACCTCGAACCTCGCAAATTTTGTATTTTTATGATAGTACGCTATATTTCGTTTTCGCCTGAAACAATCATGTCATGTGCAAAATGATTGTTTTTTCAGGGATTTAATGGGGTTTTAGTTCTTTCTTTTTTTTCTCCTCTTCCACGTTTCCGTGTTTTCAGCATATGATCCTTTTGGTATGATGGATTATCTTGTTTCTTTGTGTGTGTCCAGAATACTCTGCTGCTGAGGACAATTCCTGGGTTGAATGAACTTGGCAAGGCGTTGTTAGGTAACATCACATGGAATCTACTCCTTTTAGCTCATGAAAGCTTTTGCAACTATATTTCACTTGACTCTGGAAATGTTCAGCAATTAATATACTTTGTTTAATGGTTTAATCATCGCTTATCTTAGTGACGGGATAATTTAAACTTCTTTTCATATCGAGTAGGGACTTCAAAGTTGATAGGTTTTAACTGATTTTTTTCCTTTTATTTTTGAAAGGTGATTTCCTTGATGATTTTACCTTTGTATTTTTTTTACTTTTATAGTGTCTAAGTTGGCAGTTTATATTTTGTCGTTGCAGGACCAATGACAGAGCAAGTAATGCTTCTTGAGAACATAGGAACATCAGTACTTGTTTCTGAAAACCAGGTTGGACGCTTGCAAGAATTAAATATCTGATTCAACATGCAGATATCTATCATATTGAATGATTAACTACATGAAGTAATTTAGCGTTGTTTGCTATGTAGTTGAGTTCATTTGTGTATTCCTGCATGGTGCATTCTATGATGCATTATAATACTACGAACTCGTCATCGTGAAAATGATGATGGATCAATCACTTTGTTTCTGTATTTCAACTTCATGATTGCAGAGGATTTTGGAAAAAGAAATTCTTTTAAATTGTTACTGTTCTTAAGCAAAAAAAAAAAAAACTTTTATGCCTGCTGCTACCTTCTGATTTTTCGCTTAATACAACTTTACTCTGCATATAGATCTTTATTCTTTTGGAGCTTTCCCTCTAATTTCCACTTCTACAACTTTGATATAATTGAAATAGTCCCATATGTGAAAATTGTGATATCAGTTTGTCGGGTCAGTCACTTCAATATACTTTGAATAGTCCTGTTTGTAAATAACTTGTTATTGGAAGACAATCCTACTAAAGATCTTGGAAGACATAAGACAAAAGTACAAATGCCTTACTGTGTTTAATAAGAATTTTTAGTATTCATAGTTGTGACTTATGTAAAAAGTATACAAAGGAGAAAGAAGTAGAACAGATGCCCTACAGTGGGATTTGTTATTGAATGACGTGCAAGTAGAGATTATAACACAATTTTTGGCAAATATTGTAATTTTCATGAGCCTCTAACACCAGCTTAATTGTTGCAGATTTATCTGCTTGATATTATCTTTTAGCAATTTTCCCTCCAAATTTTGTTCATCTATTGTTGAAGCAAAATATGGAAAGCTTGTCAGAAAGCTTTTTGAGGAAAACACAAATGGTTTTTGGTAAGCATGTTGTAACATCTTAGGCAGCTTTTGCTGAGAGCAATTTCCAAATAAGGTTACATAGGCCTCCCTCACATAAAAGGGATAGTAATCCAATGATTTTGAGGCGTCTTAACATGCCATTTCCATGTAATAGGATGGATAATTGCGATCAGAGTAGCATGGACATCTGTGTCCTAATAAATATTCCTACTCAAACTTTGATTCTCAGTTTGCTCAACTGGCCTCTGTTCATAGAAGTCACAAAACTGAGCAAGAAGGATAGATCCATGATGGACTTTACCCAGGACAAGCTTTTTCGCTCAACACACACAAGGCAAATGTCCATAGAAACAGTGTATTAGACTGGGCTGCCTGGGGCTGAGGATGCACAATTGTATGTATCACAGATTGGATGTACATGATAGATGCGTAAGTCACACAAGTGGTTTATATTGTGACAGATTGTGCACAAGCAACAAGGTTGATGCAGATTTGTTGTTCCATATCTCTTCTCTACTTTTTGGAGCATCATGTAGTGAAATAATTCATTCTTGGTGAATATATTAACTACAATTGTCAATTATTTGTGATCATTTATCATTATCTATAACTATATTCTCCCCCTTCTTTTTACAGCTCCCCGGTCTTCATAAATTGATGATTGAGGCGGCAAAAGTACTAGACACTGAAGCTCCTGATCTTTATGTCCGCCAGAATCCTGTTCCAAATGCATACACCTTGGCAATTAGTGGTAGGAAACCATTTATAGTTGTTCACACTAGCCTTGTGGAGCTTCTTACTAGAAGAGAACTACAGGTATCATCATCTTTATTTTGCGGTGCAGAAACATTAGAGTACATTTAATTCTTTCTTTTAGATAAACAAACAGCAAGTGAATGAAATTTGAGATTGTTCGTAAGAGATCTGCATGCCTATGTGCTCTGAAATAAAAAAGGGGGTTCCCTCGTATAAAAGTTATATTGCTGATGATGGTTCCAGAAAGTGCCCAATGGATAGAAAATAATAAAAATATCTTCTATTTGTGAATCCATTCCTTGATGAGATATGCATTTTTTTAATAGTTAAATGCTGGAGAATGTGTTGCCTTCATTATTTACTGATTTCTTGGATCATTGTTACTCCATTTAAATTCTCGCTCTCTTGCCTGTTGCCTTTTGGAAGTTCTGAAGTTATTGATAACACGTATCTTATGTCATTATTTTAATGTTGGTGACAGTAAACTCCTGTAGCATATTCTTAATATTGCATTTCAATTTCCAGAAGAAAATTTTATTTGACTTGGATCCAATAATTTACTTACGTATGCCGAGGTTTTCCTTTAATTAGGCCGTTTTGGCTCATGAGTTGGGCCACTTAAAATGTGACCATGGGGTGTGGCTTACATTTGCAAACATAATTACACTTGGAGCTTACTCTGTACCTGGTATGATGTGTTACATCTTGTGGTGCTCTTCATGGATTTATGAACATCCACGCTGAGATGGATCTATTGTCTGCAGGCCTTGGTGGGTTGATTGCCCAGAGTTTGGAAGAACAGCTTTGTAGGTGGCTTCGAGCTGCTGAGCTAACTTGCGATAGGGCGGCTCTCCTTGTTGCACAAGATCCAAAGGTACTTTTAAGTTTTAACTGCATATCAATGTATTTGAGGATAACCATGGTCCATTCAGTTTATGATATTAGTGTAAACTAGTATGTCTGACCAAACATTAATATCCCAAAACACAAACATTGTGGACAATGTTGATTGGTTATTTAAAGGTGTGGTATTGTTTCTATATCTTCACCTTGTCTCTGTATAGAGCTTCATATCTGTTGAAAATGTATACCAAGACATCATGGTTAGTGGTAGGAATCAAATTTCTCCTAATCTATACTCATCCACTGGAATCCCATTAGGAATACTGGAGCTGACCTCGTTTAAGAGTTTAGGGTTCCCGACCAGGCAAACTATATTCCACATGCAGATTTTTATATATGCACATTGTTCTTTTTTTCTGGAGCTATGATTTCATAAATGCCCATGCGGTGTGAAATTTTAAAAAGATACTTATAAATTTTGACAAATTTATAAGGATATCTATAATATATTTTCTGTGATACCTGTGACTTTATGAGGATTTATTGTAAAATATACAAGTTAGCTGAAAAGCCTCTATGCACCTTCTTCTGTTTTATCTCTGGAAGGAGGCGGAAAATGCAACTGCTAGATGCATATGCGGGATCACATTCCAACTTCTAGTCAATGACAATGTTATTTTAGTTATTTCTTCTTGCAGTACATTTATCAATCTCTAATTACTTTTTTCTTGTGTCCTATCAAGAGGTGGTCATCTCTGTTTTGATGAAACTGGCTGGAGGGTGTCCATCTCTTTCTGACCAGCTAAATGTAGATGCATTCTTGGAGCAAGCTCGCTCATATGACAAGGCTTCTTCCAATCCCATTGGTTGGTACATCAGGTTTGTGTCATGTGCTTTAATGTGACATTAATTAATTTGTAGTATTTAGATATTACACCAACTTTGCTCAGAGGAGGAAAAGGATCCATGAAGACAGCCCCAAATAATTGGGACTTTACGGCTTCTCTTGCCATGTAAATCATTTTATGAGGTTTCTCGTTGAAATTTAACTTCAAAGTTCATTTGTGTGGTCCTAGGAATGCTCAAACGAGGCAGTTATCCCACCCCTTGCCTGTTCTACGTGCCCGTGAAATTGACGAGTGGTCAAGGGGTCAGGAATACAAATATCTACTGAAGCATGCTATCCAACTGGAAGATTCTCTAAAGCCTAGAAATACCTTTGTGCGGTGAAGATTGCGATGATGTTTTAAATGCTTAATGTTGAAATTAAACCAGAAGGTAACTAGAAATGTTTTGCAATTGTCTGTTCTAAATGTCATCGATGCCGCTTAATCATGCACATCTAATTCATCATGTCTGGATTCTGTAGTGCATGGTTGGAAATAGGATGCTGGAAGCGCTAAGGAGGGGGGATGTTGATACTAGAGCGTCATGAAGATAGGAAGAAATTTAGTGAATATTAGCATTGTACACAACATATACAGTATTGTAGATATACATGAGAATACGGATCTTTGGTATCTGGGCATGTAATATGTTTTGTTAAAACACCGAAACACAAAGAAAGTTGGATGAATGATTTGAAATGTTGTATACTTCCTATAGTTGGCTTCCTATAGTTAGCTGGGCCTACTAAGATTTATTACTACTGTATACCTTGACATATTTTAATACATTCTTCGTATTGCTGTTGTTAATTTTGCAGGATTAGATCCTTGTTCTGTCCATAGAACCATACTTCTCTCGGTGAATGTTTGTCTTCATGACTACAGGATAGACCTATCAAAATGGGCAAGGACTGTAGGTGAAGGGATTGTGGCAGATATTGCACACCGGGATTCCTCGGGAGAATCTGGAGGCAGATATCTCATATGTCTCAATGAAGGTACTTTGGATTTGTTTAGGAAGTATTCACAAGTCTTAATCTTCTTTGATTCATGCTTTAGAAAAATTATATATTAAAGTCACATTTGACAAGGCTGATATATATTTTTTCTTGCAGGAATTGATTGGAAGGCAGAAGCTAGCAAGCCTTACTCAAGATGATAAGGATAACAGATAAAACCAGGGGAAGAAATTTAGAGAGTTGAAAGAAGCTAAGCCTCTGAAAGTGACCAGTGCCTGCTTGTTCACCTCACAAGACAACAACAGTAATAATCTCTTTGCATTTGATCTTTCTATTTCAATCAATTTCTATTGATATGAATCCAATTGAAAAGGATAGGACCCTCACCCCAACAATATAATCCCATAATCTATTAGATTTCTTCCTTCCTTGTGGGTTCATGAGATGACTCCAGTAGCCCCTTCGATGTAATCCATAGAACACATACATGGTTGTGGTTGTGAATGACCAAGTCAGCTCTTGTGATGTGAGGGGGAGGCATCAGTAGTCTTTGTTTTAACATGACAATTAACCCTCTTGCAAGTGGTGATTTGACATGAAGAAAGATGGCAAGATTTGCCTAACCTGCATGTAGAAATTATGAACATAATCTGGTTATTATATAACATGTCCTCTTGATTTGATTTCCAAGAATCTGCATGATGTGAACTTTTTTGTATGATCAGATCAAGTCAATCGATCACTCAGCAAATGGAAGGGTTTCTCAACATAAAAATCAATGACTTGCAAGTATATACAGAATCAAACATCACCTTAACCATTAGATAATATGTAGACTAAATCTTTTCAATCCCTTGCAAATATTAGTGTAAAATTTCAAATGATTATAAGATCATCCAGCTCAAGTTTTTTTGGTAGTAGATTTCAAGATGCAGAAGTTGATCATTTTGATAGTAGGCTCATTTAATATTTTATATTCATTATCATCTGATCTTTTAACTATTATTATATTATAGGATAAAAAGGTTAAAAAAAATGTAATTGATTTTTTTTCCTTGTTCAACAATAAACAATCAGTGATTGGCTCAAAGAAAAAGTCATTTTCATGTCTTATCCTTGGATTCCTTTGTACGTCCCCCCCACTGTTTTCTGTGTCTTCACACTTTTCACTTGATTCAATCACAGTCAAACGCAAAGAGCGTTACGCACATACACAGAGAGAGAGAGAGAGAGAGAGCAGAAGCACTTTATTCCGGCCACAGGAATAAGCTTAACCCCAACGCAAAGGGGATTTAAGCTGGTCCACCGCGTGTGACCGGAAAAAGCTAAACAAAACACACAAAGTATCATCAACATCATATATATATATATATATATATATATATATATATATACACACACAACAAAAGGCTGCTCACAAGTCACGCACGCCACCTTCTCTCTCTCTCTCTTGCTTTCACTCCTATTGAGACGTTGAGCGTTTTTACTTTCCACAACACCGCCAATTCAAGCGGTTTCTCTCTCATCTCTACAAAATTAGGGTTTATTGCTATGTATTCGAAATATCCCTTATCCAACTGTAATGTCAATCTCTTAGATGTAATCTCTACTTTTTCATCTCTCTCAAGTCCACTTTGAGAGGAGGATTGGAATGGCTCGATTGAGCTAACTACAGTTAATTAGAATTAACTGTGGTATAATCCCACAATTAAGTTTCTATTATATTGGCCACAGGAACGCCACATTACATATTTTTCTTTGTCAAGAATTTCCATGATTATATATCTCTTTATATTTGAATCTCGTTTTTATCATTTATTTTTTATAAAATATATATAAAAATTGACAAGGAAAAAAAATTTCATGCTAAAAAATATTTTAATATATATATATATATATATTATGGGAGAAATAAAAACATGAGAAAAAGATGAAGCAATATTTTTGCTTTTTTTTCTCTCTCTATAGAGGTTGAGAAGAAGGAAAAAAAAAGGGCATCATTTTTGCCGGCTGTACAAAAATAGAAAAAAAAAAACCAGAAAAGAAAAGGAGAAAAAAAGGACTACCTCTCAATTCAACATCATCATCATCATCATCTCACCGCCACCAACCTCCGGTGGGGCTCCGGCCGCGGCGGCGGCATCGAGCCATCGATCCATGGGAGCGCACTCGGCCTTGTGCGCTAGCTTCCAGTGGAGCGCCTGGCACGCCCGCGAGCAGTAGTTGACGACGCCGCAGACAGAGCAGCGCCGGAACTCGTGCCGCCTCATCTCCCGCCGGCCGCAGCCGATGTGTGAGCAGAGGCGGAGGCCATCCTCCCTCGGCCACCCGCTGGCGCCCCTTGCCGCGAACCACTCCGCCATGAACCGGTTGGCCGGGTGGGCCTCGGGCGCCGGCACGTTGCAGCCGAAGTCGCTCAGGAGGGAGCAGCCGGAGGCCAGCGCGTCGCCGTGGCGTTTCCAGGCAGGGGAGGAGTTGAGGACGGCGGCGAGCTCCCGGGCGTTGGCCTGTATGAGGAAGCGCCGGCCCTCTGCGACATTCCGGCGGACGCCGTAGCCGTCCTGTAGACAGTGGCCGAGCTCCCGGAGCGCGTCGACGTGGCCGAGGACGGCCGCGCGGGCGCACAGGGCGACCCCGGCGCGGAGGTCCTTGTCGTCCTTGGAGCCTCCACTGCCATTGAACTGGATGACCGCCAGCGAGTACAGCGCCGCGGCGTGGGAGCCCATCGCCGCCCGCGCCATCAGCGACGCACCGCTCCCCCGGTTCTGCAGGCAGTAGAAACGGATCTGCGGCAACAAATCACAGAATAGGAATCCCCAAAATCCTTCCTTTCGACCAAGAACGAAACAGGGGAGACGCCACCTACCATGCCGAGGATGTAACAGGCCTCCAGATTTCCGGCGTCGGCGCACTGCTTCAAGAACTCGTGTGCCGACTCCGACCAGTTCTTGGCCCTAACCGCGAGCGATTTCATGGACGCCATGGCAAGAGCCAGGGGATCGGATCCCAATTCGTTCAGCCTCTTGCATCTACGACGGGAAAAAAAAAAGCGATTTTTAGCACAGAGATGGAACAAATGAGACGAGTATTCGAGCGAAATGCAGGAAGCTCAGAAGGAATAGTACGTTATCCGGACGCCAACGAGGTCAGCGGGGCGAGCGGCCGAGGCGCTCAGCTTGCAGAGGATGGAGACGACGAGTTCGTCAGGGAGGGAGTCGAAGAAGTCTGGCATCTCCCCAGCGACGCCCTCAGAGGCCATCATCCTCGCGGGTTCGTCCGCCGCTGCTCCTCCGGCAGGGACCCGCCGGGACCTCTTCCTTCTCCTACCCTCCTCCTCCTCCTCCTCCGGCTCCTCGGCTCTCCACTGCGGCCTGGGGTAGCAGACGCCTCTCCTCGTCCGCATGGCGCTCTCGTTGGCTGCGCGGATGGGCGAAGGACGCCTCAGGAGGAGAGCGACAAGACCACCGTATATACACAGGCATACACAAAGCAGGAGTGTCTTAGCCAAACGAAATGACCGTATCGCCATCGGTAGACGGTGGGAATCAGCTGCTCGCACACGGTCAAAAGTGCGTTGACCCCTCACTTCCACCTCACGCATGCTTCTCTCTCCTCTTTCTAACACTGGCGGTTGAAAACAAAAAAAATTCAACTAAAAGTAGAGATAATTACATATTATCTTATTTAATTAATTATAATTTACATCACAATCCTTATATTTTAAAAAATAACATTATGATCCTTATAATTATAAAAATTTATTTAATCTTAATTTTTTTCAATCATTAATTTTATCGACGAAAAAGATCGCATGTGTTATCACATGTAAAACGATACGAATAAAAAAAATAAAAAATAATTTTATTATATATTAATTTCATATAAACTATTTCTTCGGAAGAGATTTTCACATAAACAAATTAAATTCTTTGTTGATATGGCTCACTCTTTTTAGATTTCTCTCACTTTTTGTTTTTTGGATTTCTCTTATTTTTGTTATCATTTTTTGTTTTTTGGATTTCTTTTTTTATATTATCCCTTACTTTTTGTTTTTTGGATTTCTCTTACTTTTTGTTTTTTTGGATTTCTCTTTACTTTTTGTTATCTCTTACTTTTTATTTTTTTGGATTTCTCTCACTCTTTTCATACAAACAAACTAAATTCTTCGTTGATATGGCTCACTCTTTTCACACAAACAAACTAAATTCTTCGTTGATATGACTCACTCTTTTCACACAAACAAACTAAATAATTTTGAGATTTCTCTCACTTTAGATTTCACACAAACAAACTCTTTTCAAGGTTTCGCGACCGCTACGGTGTGTAATCCCTGATCCTGACAAGTTTGATGGAGAGAGAGAGAGAGAGAGAGAGAGAGAGAGAGAGAGGTAGTTGAGAAGTTGGCAAAGTAAATACGGCTATGAAGTAAAGTGAGTCGGAGAAACAACGTAACGGAAGACTGAGTCCGGTGGTCGACGGTCAAACTTCCAAACCCGGCGGGCACTTGTATAACTACGAGAGAGAGAGAGAGAGAGAGAGAGAGAGGGGAAGAAGGAGAAATGATGGATGAACAAAGACAAAGAACGGTTCGAAACAAAATAACAACGTTAATTAAGTTTGAATTGATGTACTTGTAATCAATGAGGCTTTCGTCGTTACGTAATTTGAAAATAAATTATGTATTATGTATAGATTATCGACTTCTCCAACTCTACAAGAATTGAAATATATGATTCAAAAAAAAAATTTAAAATATATGATAAAACTGAAATTTATTTCTCAATAGAGGGATGATATTGATTTTAAATAATTTTTTTTGAAATCAGGCTTCCTTTCATTAATACGAGATTCGAAAATACATTGTGTATTATGTATAGATTATCGACTTCTCCTACTCCATAAGAATTGAAATATACGATCTGAACCAGAAGAAAAAAATATTTGAAATATACGATAAAACTGAATTTATTTCCCGATAAAGGGATGATACTGATTTCAAATAAATTTATTTGAAATCAACGACGCTTCCGTTAATATGAGATTTGGAAATATATTATGTATTATGTATTTTTTACTATTTTGAGCATTAGACGAACATTGATTTTCATACGGAAACCCCTCAAGGTCAGATCCCCACCGAGATACCTCAAGATCACCTTGGAGCCACCTCGAATGCCTCCGTGCAGCTTAGAGAGAACCTCGAATAACTCTATGCCTTCGAGTATAGACCAAGCCGGATTGACTCTATCTATATTACATCTCTCAACACCTCCAAACTCAAGTAGAATGCCTCAAGCTCGGTGAACAAAAATTTTATGTTCAAAGCTTAAGTTTGTGTTAAATAACTTTGATCCATGTGCTTGAGATTGTTTTAATGTATAATTACCTATATTCAATGGGTAGTTAGTTTTATTGAAATATCTAGCGTTGCTTTGAATGAGCAATTTTTTTCATATGATGTTCAAATTTTTTTCATATCAAGGTGGTTGGTAGCAGGGTTCATCGTACTAAGCTATGTCGCTTAGTACGAGCAATTCGTATTGGTCTGATAGAGGATCAATATGTGGACTACCCTCTGAGTTATACCTATTTCATGACATCATATCGGATGAGACAAGATTTATACTAGTCGGTAATAATAGATTTTAATTATTATCGATCAAGGGCTCAAATTACCCTATTTCAAATAATCAATTTGACTATTTGAATCATAGGAAATAGTTTTTAAACTCTCTCGTCTACTACAATCTTTCACCCAAAATGCAAAGGCAAAAATATAATGAGGAATGTAGTAGTATCATCTACACCATAGGAAAGAATTGAGCCGGGTGGATACTTTCTCAATTGCATTCAACAACCCACTCAGTCTAGAGACATGACAGTACATGGACAATAATACCTCGACCAATGATGATACTGATACCGGAGAATTAATATTTTATAGATACTACCCAAGATTCAAATCATAGAACTGATCGAGGTACTAATCAAATTTATACACAAAAGGGAAAGAGGAAGATAGTGAATGATTTTTAGCAGATGCGATAGAGCCTATATGATGTAGACATAGAGCTCATCGTATTCACATTCATTATATTATAGAGAATCTTATAACCAACAATAATATAATGATAGTTGGTCATACTTCTCCGAATAGTAGTGTAGTTATCGATAGTAAATCAATAGTGAAGGTAGAATTCTAACATTCTTCGGGCTCCATATCAATACATGCCACATTTATCCTTGTCTCAGGTGTCGTCTCGGACACATAGTTCACAATGATTAGACTACGACCATTACTATATCGTTGCACCAATGAAGATGGTGTATCAATATACTATGTCGTAGGATCATTTTCAAGATTAAACCTGATAAATTATTAAATTGATATATAGATACATAGAATCAAGAACCTCGATCTATCGGTCATTAAGTCTTATTATTTCTTTATGATAAAATCAAGTATATATATCGATTAATTACTTGATTCATTTGAATCTTAAAGTTTAAATTATTTAAAATTAATCTAATAATTTAATTTATTTTTTTTATTGATAATTCAATATTAATGAAAGAAAGATCCCAAATGTACCACAAAATTTCTTCGCAAAGCTCAAAAAAGATATATCACTATTTTTTTCTAATTTAGATTATTTTTACTCAAAGTCCTAATCTAATTATTTTTCTATTTTTTTTTAAAAAAAAATTAAAGCTATTTTCGATAATTTTATCATATTATCGATATGCGTAGATATAATGATATACGGTACGTCGATACACCTCAATACATATCGTAAAATAAATCTTAGTTGCTAGGTATATAGTTTAATTTTTCTAAAGGAGAGACAAAAATATGCCAGAGATGTTTTAAGCTTTTAGATAAATAATATTGATAAAAAAAATTGAAAGTGGTGTAAATTAAATTCGAGAGAATAGACACTTGAGTCAAATACAAGAATTGGTGGCATGTGGATTAAGCTAATGCTGGCTATAATCTGGTCAACTTTGACCGCTACAAGTCATTTGACCACATCCATCAAATTATTGTCAAACCCTAATTCCCACCACATGCATCGAGTTAAGGTTGAGCGAGGTGGCCATTTCTCACTAGTCGAAGCACCTGTGGTGGTTGGTTCCTTTGCTTGGAAGAAGGGTGAGCTGCTTTGTGGCCTAATTTCTTCTTCTTCTTCTTCGAAGAAGAAGGTGGTCATCATCATCAATTGTTTTTGCTTGGTTGAATCAAACACATGTATCAATTCCCAATGTTTTATTCTCCATTTGGCCCCGAGATTATTGAGTTCCGACTGCCATCACTGTGGCTAACACTGCCATGATTGCTAAGTCTCCTAATCCCTTACGCTATCCACTTATTCCCATTCCATGTGTCCTTGGAGATGCATACATATACTTTGGAATGTGTTGCGTACGCTATATGGATTCTTGCCAAGTGATTGTTTGTGTCCAAACAAGAGAGAGAAAGAGAATTCTTAATTCAAGAATAAATGTGCATGCCAAATGCATAATAATATACATATATGTGTATATGTGGCCACATGTGGCTTAGGAACCGCTAACTTTGAAGGCAATAAAAGGCATTAATTATGGTAGATAAGTAGTCATATTCTTCGATTGTCATTTTTGAAGTCTATCACTTGTGTAATAGTTTATTAATTAAGGTAGATAAGTAGTCATATTCTTCAATTATTAGAGAAGGTACGAGAAAAATATCATCTTTTACGTCTATCACTTATGTAATGGTGCATTAATCGTCTATGTTTTAGTGTCAATTCGACCCATAACCTTTTAGGTAAATCAAATATAAAACTATCATAAGAGCTAAGTACGTAGCAATGATTTGTCTTGAAAATTGCAACTAGTATTTAGCAAACAATTAGGGAAAAAAAAGTCATGTTTGATCGTGATATAATTATTTTCTGAAATCCACTTGTCAAAAATGCTGTTAGAATTTTAAGGGTTACACATGTATAATTAAATATGTTAAGTCATTATTTTTATTAGTCAAAATTAAAGTGATCCAATTAAAGTAAAATTATTTGGCTAAGGGACATAATTATTATTATGAAAATTAATTGTGTGGATACCATCAATTATATTTCTAACTTAATGAAGAGATAAGTTAGGAATATAAAACTTTTGAGGTATAATTACAGATTCATTAATTATGAATATAATCATAATTATAGATTCATCAGTTATGACTATAAATAAGGTTATAGTCTCCGGTTGCAGTATCGAATGAAGTTTTTCTTCACCCGTCAAGGAGAAATCTAAAGTTCTTAAGGATACTTGCAATTGGAAGACCAAATCATTAATTAATTCAGAAAATATTCAAATGGATTCATCATGCGCTTCTGTGTTAATATGTTTCTTAATTGTTCTAGGATTTTATGCATATTATAATGAATTTAAGAAGTTTTATGGAAACATTCTAAAATCATATTTTGGATCTA